TTTAATTGCTCCGCCCCCAATCACTCCTTCACCCGCCGTCGGTTTTGTTTGGCGTCACGTCGCGTGTACAATTTTCGACGTCTTCTTTAAGGGTCGCTCTTCAGTCAAATGAATTAATTGTAAGCGACGAACGGGTGATTCCACGGTGATTAAATACCATGGAACGTTTCCCGAAGGGTTTCGATTATTTCGCTCCAAGTACTTCGACGAAGCGACGCCGGCGACTTTTCGCGTGGGTTCACCTTCTCAAAGGGCTTAACAGAGACGAGTAATTAATAAACCGTTTCATTACCAAATTATCGAAGAGTCGCAAGAATAAACTATCTGCGGATAATTAAAATTTCATCGTTCGATAATCAAATTCGCAATTAATAATTAAATTATACGTCTCGATATCGATTCCATTTTGGTCATCGACTACAGAAATATTATATTTTCTCTTGTACGGTAATAAGTTTTCACCCGTATAATAAACAAATAATTTTATATATTAGTAAACAGTCGAAGAGTTTACCAAATTATTTTTACCCTTATCAATGTCTATAAATTGTTCTGAAATCGACTTAAAATATTTCGATGATGTTTACCCAAACTTGTATTTAAATCCGAATTTTAGCTTGAGACATTTTCTGTTGTACAGTAATAAGTTTTCACCCGTATAATAAACAAATAATTTTATATATTAGTAAACAGTCGAAGAGTTTACCAAATTATTTTTACCCCTATCAATGTCTATAAATTGTTCTCAAATCGACCTAAAATATTTCGATGATTACCCAAACTTGTATTTAAATCCGAATTTTAGCTTGAGACATTTTCTGTTGTACAGTAATAAGTTTTCACCCGTATAATAAACAAATAATTTTATATATTAGTAAACAGTCGAATAGTTTACCAAATTATTTTTACCCCTACCAATGTCTATAAATTGTTCTCAAATCGACCTAAAATATTTCGATGATTACCCAAACTTGTATTTAAATCCGAATTTTAGCTTGAGACATTTTCTGTTGTACAGTAATAAGTTTTCACCCGTATAATAAACAAATAATTTTATATATTAGTAAACAGTCGAAGAGTTTACCAAATTATTTTTACCCTTATCAATGTCTATAAATTGTTCTGAAATCGACCTAAAATATTTCGATGATGTTTACCCAAACTTGTATTTAAATCCGAATTTTAGCTTGAGACATTTTCTCAAGTTATGACTCGTTCGTGCTCTGTAAAATTGATGATCGAGTTTGAAAATTTGCTCCTAAAATAGGAGAGGGCTCTCGTTTCCGGCAAACAACCGCTTTGTGCGGAGCGGATCGCGTTCCTCGTCTATTAAATCGCGTAATACCCTTAATTAAAACATTCCCCGAGCTGTTATCCACCCACGATTGAGAGACTTTTTCCATTTCAATTAGAAAAACCTTTGACCGCGTACAAGTGCGCGAAATCAAGGACGAACGAGCCTCGTTTTCCATCGCGGAAACGTCATTTTCGTTTCAATTAAGATGAAAACTCCAGGACCGTGTTCATCGGTAGCAAGAATCGACGAAGATTTGCATTAATTTCCGCGACGAAAGGTGAGTGGACATGCTCGAGCCGGGCCAAGGAAGGTCCGAGGTTTCGAGTGACTCTCGTTCCGACGTGAAATCGTCGACACAGGACGAATTATACACGCACCGAGGTTTCGTTACGAAGGGAAAAGATGGACCCGGCTTAGAGACTGGCAGGGCCACTCGAATTATATTAAGACGGATTCCTCGGTCCGGCAGACTCGATGTTATTTTAAGCATCGTTGAAAAGAAGTTATTACCTTCTTCGTCGAACTCGTTAAATTCTGGGTTAAGCATCCGCCTGACCTTTCAATGCGATTTTACTTGCTCCGCCGCTTCAAAGTGCTGAAAATTATATACTCGAACCTCCTCGACGGTCAAGGATGACATCAGAGCAGAGCAAAATTTAATTCGAACAACAAATAACCGATAAAACCAAAGTATAGAAATTTATTCGATATAATTTTATTTTTTATCCGGATAAGATAAATCAATCTTGCAGAAATCAACGAATAAAATATCTTTAGACGAAGACGTTATGGATACTTTAAAGTTATCTTCTTCGAAACAAGCCCAAGTCTCACAATGTAACTTTCCGTCGAACACCTCCTTTTATGATTCCACGAATAAAACAAGAAAATATTAAATGTTAATGTATGGGACATCTTTATATTCATACTGTTTCCTTTGTGAGAGGAACAGTTTCTTGCAGACTTGGATTTTGTAGGCTTTTCAAACTTTCTTAATAAATTTCACGCGCTTTATTCCTCATTTACATTTCCATAATTCCTATTAATGGATTCTTTCAACTTTTCAAATTTCATTATCAACCTTGCAAGAATTTAGTTACTATAACTTTTTGTTAATACACTCGTCAGTGTAGTACGATTCGCTGGGCTAGACAAATTTTAACGTAATTTTAGATTTAAAATTTATTAGAGTGACTGTATCCAAATAAATTTTGCATTTTCATTCCTGCAATATCTTCTTAATAATTCGACAAAATAATTTATAATAAAAAATACCAATCTCAATGTTCGAATACTTGTAATTCTCCGAATTATAGGTCGCAATAAAAATTGTATTGTCTAGAATGTTATAGGGGCTGTTTCTGACCATATTTAATTTAAAATAAATTAGTCTATTATCTATAAAATGGCTATTTGATATATCTCAGATCCCATGTGTTGAGAAAAACTCATTAATTTGATGATAACAAATAATGAATATTTCAATAGCGTAGCTGTTATTTTATAACATTCTTACCAATAATATTATCGAAAATTTTATAAATAATAGGGTTTGTTCGTTCAGAATCTTTTAAAGAACGTTGTAAGTTCGAATCTACGGTCAACAGGGAACGCGTAAAAATTTATGTAGCCAACTCTCCGTCTACAAGAAGCATCTGTGCGTCACAGAGGAGTTTACGTCGATGGAAACACGCTTGTAGAGATGGTATCGACCAGTTCGCGTAATACTGACACGTATAAAAGAGGCGATATTGCGTACACACATCGCGAATCCCATTGTATCCCGAACGACGCCGACTGGCGACGTCCCCATCGACGAAGACACTCTGTCGCGAGCGAAATGCAAATCGTAAAACCGCTTATGAAATCAGAATTCACTGCTTCAAAGGGGAAAAAATGGAACGTGCACGATGGGGAGGGGGATAAAAATGCATTCCACCCACACATCGATTCACGCTTCCAGTTTCGTCGAACGCGATTATCGATGGATCGCGATTGTCGACTCCGACGCGCGGCGATAAATCCTCGAACTTCGAGCCTCGAGAGGTGGCGGGATGTCCTGGTTGTCCATCTCTTTGACAACTCCGAACTCTCAGGAACGTTTGCATAACGTCGCTATTCTTAAATGAAATTTATTCTAGGATTCGAACGTGCACGTTACATTCATAGATCGTTGGGAACCGATTATTTAAAAATATTTCTCAGCCGAAACGTCGCTAAAATCTTCGATCCGGCGCGAGCCACTTGCAGTTTTCGCGATTTCTGCAGAAACGAGTACAATTTGTACCAGAAACTGTGGCCTATTCGAGTGATAACCTCCCGCGCGAACAATACAGAAAAATCACAGAAAAGGAACGAACTCCCTTACGCGCGATAAAATCTGCGGTATATTGATCGAAATACCTCCACTCGTCGACAATCACTGCTTTTGTCGCGCTGACGAAGGTAATAAAGTGTATTTGCGTCCCACCGTCGATGGCGGATCGCGGGAAAACGAAGGTAATTTGGTGTACCGTGGGGGGGAGCGTGGGTGGAACCGTAGGAATTTCGTCGTCATTAGGTGCAGAAACGGAGCACGGCAACGAAAAATCACCCTCGCCGCGGGGACGGACTTTTTTCCAGGCGTCTTTCCCGGCGTTCGCCGATACACGGAACCGGGCTGGTTTTCCCTCCAGGGTACAAAGTCGTTTCGACAAATGAAACGTCCCCGCGATAGAGAAAATTGTACCGGCAATAATAAAGCGATACGACGAACCAACGGGTTAGGGGAGTGGGGAGGGGATGAATTGAACCTAGACAGCGGGACCAACCGCCCTACCACTTCTTCCGATGCCGCCGATAAGTCCAAATATTACGCCCACTTGTTTATCCTTCGCGATGTACCGTTTAATCCGATTGTATTTTTACTGGGGGTACTGGGAGAATTATCGTCGCGAGAGATCCCTTTGTCTCGAAATATCTACGCTTGACCTTTTTACCGTGCAAAAGAATATTGATTAACCCCTTGGCTACGATTTAATTCAAAATGAGTTTTCAAATGTGTGCTATTTAATTTTGTTTAAATTTGTTCGTACGTGGAATGGCCACGAGAAAGAATAGATTCGTTTTGCTAATACGTCGTGAATGTAAAAATGTAAAAATGTTAATATATAATATTTAATGTCGAATGAGAAGCTTCATGAACTTTTGACCAGCCAGACTAATAAATGAACTACATATGTCATTGCATGTGGAATAAATGCAGTAAAGCGACGGAGAAAAATTAATAAACCAGTACAAAATGGAAGAGGAAAAACACTTATACTTTGTTAATTATTAAACGAGGAATCAATCATCCAAAGGACCGAGTATCCACGCAAATATTTCATAAGAATATACAAAACAGTATCTCGACTAAAACAAAATATTTTTATCCATAAATTACGTCAGAAGAATTATGTTTACGACAGATCGTGTATTTCGAATAAGATTTCCAGTTTGATAGTAATCGTGGTAATTTCTTTTCACGTTTGACGACCAGAAATACTTCTAATTTCGTCGGAACGAGACCACGCGGGAAAGTTTCGAATGGAAGCGACGGCGTTCGACGCTTTGCGGCCGTCTATAGTTTCCGACGGAATCAAAATATTTGTATTCATATCGGGTAGTACGCCGCGCGGATAAGTGGCTTTCAATGTAGGTAAAAGGAGGGTAAAGTACTCACGTTGGCGGTGTCGTCGAGTTTCCGCTTCCACACATCGCTACGTTCGATTAGGGCGTTCCATTGCTCCGAAAGTTTGTTCACTTCACGGCGAATGCTGCGCGTTAATTCGCGTGCCTGCTCCTCCGCGCTTCTGTAGCCCCTCGAATCGCCGTCCAATTCTCTTCCGGCTGAAAACGAACAGTCAATCGTAAATGTGACACGTATTTTGTTCCTAAACCATCGCTGACGAACGATTATGCCAAAGATTTACCGATCTTTGGCCAACTTCGTCTTTTAACATTTAACACAACATTTTTATCGTTATTCGATATATTGCAAATAATTCAAGGTAGTCTGTTTTTTTAAATGTTCAAACGATTCTACCGACCTTAATTACTTTTTCTTGCAATTCATTTTGCAATGTGTTTGTCTAGAAAATTGTCTTTTACAATATTAGATACTGTCTAAGCTTCGAGGTTCAGAAATTAATAGATTTATGTAAACAAACTGAATTTACACAATGACCTAATAGAATGTTTCGATTTTCAATTTAACATTACATTTAACACTTAACTTTCTTATCGTTATTCGATATATTGCAAATAATTCAAGGTAGTCTGTGTTTTAAAAAGTTCAAACGATTCTACCGACCTTAATTACTTTTCCTTGCAATTCAGTTTGCAATGCGTTTGTCTAGAAAATTGTCTTCTACAATATTAGATACTGTCTAAGCTTCGAGGTTCAGAAGTTAATAGAGTTATGTAATCAAACTGAATTTACACGATGACCTAATAGAATGTTTCGAGTCTTCGTCAACCACAGAAATTAACGACATCAAAATCTACAATGTAAAAATATTGAAATACTTTGAAGTCGATCCAAGTTAAAGTAACAAATTCATAATTCCCAATTTTTTCCATCGAATACAGTGTGAAAAAAGATTCATCACGTTCATCGTAGAGCGAAACAACTTGTCCACCCCCATCGATTATGCTAGTCACGCTCATTGATAACTAAGAGTAGAATGAATCGCAGAAATAGAGTTACTGCATTGGTGTCCAGGAGAGCAAGATTCAGGATACCTATGCTGCCCTATCGCCAGTGAATTAATTGACCTATGAATCACGCATCATATCATGCAGGTCAGTTTTTATGCGCATGTTTAGCATTGATAACGCCTACCGTCTCTACCTGCTCGTAGTTGCTCTATCTGCCACGTGTTATGATGATTTATGTTTATGGTACCGGCTGCCCTTTACTCCGTGACTCGTCCTGGCTACCGTGGTTAATCGCTCGATCCTGGGATCCATCGATCCACATATCGTGCAAAAATAAAGAGACTTTGGAATTTGAGCTTCTGAATCTTCTCGTGATTACTATTTGTCTTCTCTAATGGAAAGAAATTCTCGAGTTTCTAACATGGAATCAGAGATGGGAAAAGTTTTTACTCAAATACAAAACGATCTACGTTATTTGTTCGATCAAAATTGCATTGAATTGTATCACAAAATATGCTTTACGTTGTTGGAATGACAGCTTATTTGAATAACTATTTAATCAAATAAACGTTGCGAATCAATCGTTAATGCAGAAATTCCGTTCATCGTTTATTATTCAAATGAAATTCCGTCCATCTCTGCGCGAACATTACACAAAATTTGGGTACAATCGTTAAACTAGTAAAAATTATTGCTAGAACAAAGACGAAATTCGCTAAAAAAATTAATTAAAATATGGCGCGAATGTTTAATTAAGACTAGAGGCAAACTAATAAAATTTCAGTTAGATTATTACTAAGTACGATTATGAAAGCAGTAAAAATAAATGTGACAAACCTAGTCTCGAAGGAATTTACAAATATAATAAATTTTATGCCCGAGTATTTCTTATTATTTTCATATTTGTTTGTATTCGCGTACTGTATTTACATTCTCTGACCATTCTACTCGAAAACACAAATGCAACAGAAGTGCAACAAATATCGACAGGTGGGTAGAAAATGGTATTCGGGAAACGAGCTACACAGAAGTCGAGAGAAGTTGTCTACATCAGACTGAACCTGGATTGCGAGAGAGACGTCACGATCGCAGAGTGAAAACACCTAAAAACAATTTTCACAGAATTGAATTAGGCACTCGTGTTCTTCATCGGTAAGCAATCCATTCAACAGTTCCACCATTCAATTTCCAGGCACGTAAACCTTTCCCCGTCCCCTTTTTACCTTCTCCGGTTGTTTCCCTCCATCGTCTTTCATCCCCTAATTTCTTTTTCCGCCATTTCTCATCTACGCGGCTTCCCTCTCAGAAACTCGTGGCGAGACTCGCACAATTCCAATTCTAAATTACAAATCTTCTATTTCCTCGTGTAATATCATTTTCTTTCCAAGAAATAAGTATCTCTTTCGTTACCCCAATTCAGTATACAATATATTTTGTTATAAAAATATTTATCTTTTATTGTAAGGTGTATAGTGCTCTATATAAAATTAATTTTCCATAAATGGAAGATCGTAGAGAGAATGATCTGGATTAGAATTAACACATGAGAGGTCGAGTTATGGGCTGAAGGTAGTTTTGGCGAAGGCTACGGAGCCGATATTTCAATTTTTTGGGCACTGAAAGGATTAAAGAGTGCAACCCTCTTCAGGAGACGTTGAAGAAACAGTTCATGTAAAAACGAGTAAAATTACGGCGTGCATTACAAAAAGTAGAACGTTTCATTTGTCTTGCGAGAAACACTACGTTTGTCTTCATTATTACGGAAAGCACACGTTTCGTTTTTCCCCCGTAAAAAGAAGCATGTTTAGTCGGTTAGCTGCGAAAAGAAACGTGTTTCTCCTTTTCACAGTTGTACGACCATTTTCTTTTTCGAGAGAAATACATTCAGAGATTCAATGATATTTTTAAGTCGAATACATTATATTTGATACAACTTTAACTGAAGCCTAAGATTGTAATAATAATTAACCAAACGTACTTGTAAAATGGATATGCAATTGACAAGTATATATTCAATATACAATATAGAATAATGAAACTATTTTTAATTGAGCCAATTAAATAAAAAAGTTACGTTAATAAACAAGTAACAAATCTATGATTTGTACCAAATGTAACTTTGATAAAAGAGAATATATTAAGAATAATGAAGTGAAATTCTTCCAAGAACAAAATAACCAATGTAATAGTATAAACATACTAAACATGGGTGGATACGTTGCATCTATGTGGTCAGAAGTTTTCTATGCGAATATTGCATAAACACAGAACGTTTGCCCAGGCAGAATATTGAATTTGTGGACAAACAATAAACAAAAATATGAACGATATTTATGCAGTACAAAGAAACAGCTGAATGCTGTTTGTAGGGTTTGAAAACAAAAAGTAAAAAAAAAAGTGTGTGCTCGATATAAACATGTGCTCTATTTTCGTTTCAGATGGTCATCTTTGTGCTTCAATATAATATGGAAATGTTGAAGAGATCGTTCGAGTTTACCAGACTGCGAATCTTTATGCAAATTCATATTTTTATTAGTAGAAATAATGAAATGATAGCAGAGTGTTGTCTCAACCCTTAAATGTAATCGTATCTTCATATATTTCTTATATTTTTACATATTAAGTACATTCTGTAGTTTTTTTGAGAACTAACAATTACTTACAGTATAGTGTACATACGTGTCTTCGTCTGAATTTCCAAGCAAGGTTCATCGAACGACGAGTCAAAAAATGGTAGATAATGACTGGAGAGTCGACGAATCGCGTATTATGATTCGATTTCACGGATGAAATCTCGACTATCTGTCGGAGAAGTGTTGCTATATCTCCGGAGATATACCTGGGAATGTTGTATGATCTAACCCCGCGATGTGGCGTTATATCGGTTGAAATTTATTGACGTTACGACAACGCCCGACGACTGCTCGATGCCGTGCACGTTTCATCGAACGTGACTCCCTGCAGAGTGACTGAAATCGTGCACCGTGCGACGCGGGTTGTCCTCCAGCAGGAGACCCCTAATGTTCTGATCGAATTCCGAATCTCTGCTACGCGATAGGCCCCCTCTTCTTGCTGATTATCTTACATTGAGCACACCTGAACGTGTTTCTGGCGCATCGAGCAGGCGTGCGCAAAATAATTACACCGTTTCGAAACGCACTCACGAACGCCATTCCTGTTACTCGTCCCGTTTTTATTCGATTCCGAAAACTGGAAATCCAAGGAAATAAAACGTTGTCGACTATCGAAGGACTCTGGAATTTTTGTAATACTCGTCGTATCGTTTGGAAAACAATTCACACGTTGTTTGACCAAGTCGTGAACAACGCTTTGGTGCAAAAGCGAGGTGGACTGTCTTCGATAAGTGATAATTTAAATTAGAATTATAGAGTAGAATAATCGATATCTTCTAAATAAAAATTACTGCTTTCTAAATCTGAACACCATTTCCAGCTACTCCCGTTCCGTTTTAATCGTATTTTTATCTTCGTTAGAATAATAGAACGTTAAATATCGAAAGTGCAATTTTGATATACATAAAATATCGAGTTTTATTAAAATTTTTTTTTAAACGACACCTGGAGCTATGCCTTCTAGGTTTTACTGATAAATAAATCTGTACTAACAGAGTGCTTATGTTTGAAACCAACAAACACCAAAAGGGTTGAATTCATCAACCAAACGGACAATCAATACGCAGATTTCTTTATTCAGACCTCCAACAGGTTAAAGACCCTGATTTACAACGCTACCAAGAAAGTACAGAGTCGAATCGGGTCAAAGCGCCTCGAAACGAATTTCTTTCAGCGTTTCGGGACCGATTCTTCGCCACCCTAGGAACTCGTCTTACGATTATTCTCCGTTTTATTCGAATTCCACGGGCGAACGACAAAGAAACGCGGGAATTCTTCGAGCCGATTGGTCGGGGTTTCGTTTCCATCAAGCCTTCTCTCTCTCTCTCTCTCTGTCATTTTTTTTCTTTCTCTCTGTTTCTCGTAGGTATTCTCTCGCGTCTAATTGGTATGAAAAATCACGGAAAGAAGAATGGCGCGAATTACTGGAATTGAAAGCTCCACCGCGGCTCTCTTAATTACTAGGCCTGCGCTATTGGTGAATTCAGTCGCGCGTTGCAAAGCGGCTTGGCGGGAACTAACGAATGTACTTGGCCGACATTCTTTACGCTTTCGCGGAAACTTTCGTCCTACGGCTCGCACCGATGGGTTTCCGCCATTCTGGCCAGTTTTTCGGTTCACTGAGCTCCCTGGATTCTACAGTTTCCTTTCGCGTAAATGATGAAATATTTCCCTATTCGTTAAATATTTTTTTTTCTCCAAATTTAAGAGCATCAAATTCTATGTGCAAAGCTCATCGTATCAAACTTGACGATTTTCTGGAAAAACCACCCCTGAAATGTAGAGTAATACAATGATTTGTAATGCATCTCAAAACAGATCAAATAATATTAGTCTTGCGATTTTTACTCGTAAACAAAAGTAGACTAAAGTATAAAACTCAAATTTTTAATATTTAAAATTTCAATGTCAATACAAGTCACCAATTCTGAAAGTGATCAAATAATGATTAAATCACTCAAAGAATTTATAACGTATCTCAAAACAGATTAAATAACATAATATTAGTCTTGAAATTTTTATTCGTAAACAAAAGTGGACTAAAGTATTTATAAACCGCAAATTTTAAATATTAAAAATTACAATGTTAATACAAGTTACCAATTCTAAAAGTGATCAATTCATGATTGAATCACTCAAAGAATTATTCAAAGAATTTGTAAAGTATCTCAACATAGATGAAACAACGTAATAACTAATCTTACAATTTTTATTAATGAAGGAAAGTGGACCAAAGTATAAAACGCAAATTTCAAATAATTAAAATTTCAGTACCAGTACGATTCATTAATTTTGAAAGTGGTGCAAGTCCATTAATGAGTTTGAAAGAAGATATTGATCTAGTTAATTCTCATGAAAGCTATTTGTATAATGACTTTACACTCAATGTAATATGTAGAGGCTCGTGCAAACTAAGTAGATCCTATCAGGATTGTTTAATCGATGGGTACGCAAATATTTCATTATCCTGGAGCAAGGGTAAGTGGGTTTGCACTAGCTTCGAAATTGGAAAGAAATATCAGTTTTTAAGCAACGTCTCTCGAAGAATAATGGAATTTCGGCGTGCATCTACAAAAAACTTCTGCGGTCAATGTTACTGGAAACACTCTCGAGGGAACCATGAAGCGATATCAATCGAGTTCAAGTATCGAAGTATACCGAAACTGAAATTTTCCAGGGTTAAAAGAGACCACCCGAAGGACACCGGAAACTCCACGAGAGGCTTCCGCGAAGTTTCACAAGGGAAATGCTGTTTCACCGTAATATAAATGCAATTTCCTTCTTCCTCTGTGCCGCGTACTTCGCATAAAAGACTTTCGAAAACATCAAATGTGGATTATAATACCGTGGTTAGTTCTATCCTTTGAAAGGATAATGACTTAAATACATACGGTGCGATGGAAAGATAACAGAAGAATTTTCATTTTGGGTAATCGAGTTTGCGTATAATGTGATTGGGTATTAAGTGCTTATTACTCGTTTTTCCTCTCTCGTATTAGCTTTATCGAGAAGCGTGTTGAAATTAAGATATTGCCAATTACCCTGAAATAAACTGAACCGTGAATGTCAGTGACATTTAAAACTCGATAAATTTCTTGGTTTTCTTTCGTCGGGTGTATCTATTAAAAAATATGACGCCTTGAAATTTCGACACTTCGATCTCAGATTTACTTAATTTCTTAGATGTTCAGAAATCAATGTGAGAAATCATTTCTAACGTTTGATGTCATTTCGAGAGTTGTTTGAAGCATACTGTTGTTGCTCTAAACGAATATCATTTCTAGGATTTCGCTAGAATCGGAGAAGCGTATTACTCCGACTGTTTTACATTTACAGTGAAATATGCCGCTAGAAATGCCACGATTTCAAACTATATGGCAGCACCAGGAGTCGGAGAATTGTTTATATACGACGGCCGAACGAATACGGGAACGTATGCAAACATGTTGCAAGAAGTTCTGGAACCATGAATACGTAACTTGTTCGAACCAGTACAAGATCTACATTTTTCAACAAGACGTCGCTGCTTGTCGTAATCCAGAGAAAACTAAAGGTTTGTTGAGCATACGCAATTGTGTATTTCTTGGATTACAAAATTAAGCAAACCAATGCAAATACTTGGAATCGTATTTCTATTTGGAAACCGTGTACCTTCGGAACAATAGTTTAATTCTGAGTAATTCAAGGGTCGTTCAATATTTGTTTAAAAAAGAGAACAGCGACCGGAACGCTAGAATACCTGAGTATATTCAAACGTATTGTGTGTGTGTGTTTTTTTGTCGCTTTTGGGGTCAATGTCCAGAATTGAAAAGGGTAAGATTGATTAAAGTTGTATTTTCAAAGAGTAGCTCTCCTCGCGGGAGTTTGTCGCGAAGAATGAAGGGGATTGTTAAGTGGACTGATAAAATACGAGAAGTTTCCTCTTCTAGTCTTCTTTGTCGTTTTTTCCTCCTTTTACTTAAACCACGGAACAAGAGCGGCCCTTGGAAACGAGCTTCATTCGTTCTTGTCACTGCTTTTCACGTACAATAACCGCGGCGAGCATGTAACCGTGGGCCCTCTTGAATATTTCATTTAGATAATTCCACCCTCTCGAAAGCGGGATTATTAAGAAAAGTGAAACACGGAATTTATGATTATTTGACCGGGAGACATTCAGCCCCGGAGTTCTTGCCAGAAAATGGGCTCGTCCATTAAACGGGGAAACAAACTCTTCTATACGTTGCGCGAAACAAAAGATAGTACGCCTTTCAGTCTCATTGTGACGATAAGAAAATACACCGATATATATATGTGTACTTCTTTTCTTTTAGCAGAGGTTGCTGGTTGTGTCACCTGCTTATAATGGTTGTTAGCGACACGATACGTCCAAATCACTTTTTTTTTATTTTAATGCAATTTCAACTTCCTAAGTGTCTGTATAATACTAATATACATTGCAGGTTGAAACTGCGTTAAAATAAAAATAAGTTCGAATCAGTTCTTACGACAACACGGGAGGGCAAATAAAACTTAAGTACTCATTTTATCCTTGTTTCTGGGGATCATTTGTATCAGAGAAATTTACTTTACTTTAGGGAAATTTTAGGGTGATTTACCAAACCGTAACGAATTAAACAAACACGGTTCGAGGAAATGCAAATCGAACTTTAAATTCACCTCTCTTAACACTTTTTAATACTAGAAAAATTAATTCTCGAGTTGAGGGAAATAAATCTGGATAGAATTTGTGAATTTTAACAAGGTTACGAAAATAAGTACTGAAATAAATTGTAAGTTATGTAGCTTACAATGGTCTAAACTTAAAATGTTACTTTTGTAGAATATTATACGGTTCTGATCTGGCAGTGAACGTATTAAAACTTTTGTTAAGACGGTGAAAAATATGGAAAAGAAATAATTATCGTCTTAATGAATAACGTTTCGACCATGAGATTGGTGATCTTTAAATGAAATGAATGAAATAAACACGCGTAACTATTATATGATGAGAGTCTGAATACAATTTTGTATCTTTCGAAGCCTAGAGTGCTATAATATAAAGACGTATCAAAAAGAGTATAACCCCTCGACGTACGATTAATTATATTCTTTAAACGTTCACGATTTAATTTTTTCCCAGAAGCCAAACGTAATTTATGTTACAGAAGGTTAACTTGATGTAATTTTTAAAGAAAAGTAAAAAGATTCCAGCTCACCTTCGGAATCCGAGGTGTCGGAGAGCGGCGGCTCGTTGGCGATGTACTGGCGCCCGCTCAGCAGGTTATTCTCCACGATCGGTCGTTTATCCTCCAACTGCCTCCTGAAGCCGCGATGATCGTCCTGAAACACGCAAGAAACACAAAAATAAAAATCACTCGACAAGTCTGAAATTTTATATTCATCGAATTAGCGACTAACCATAAAATGACTCGGGGAACAACTTGTACGTGATACTTTGCTGCAAACTCGATAAAAATTCTACAGAGACACGTTCAAAAATCACGATGCGTCACAAGTGAATTCATACGAACTTGAGTGTAAATTAGAAAATAATTTTATCTTTCGTTTAAATTGTTTCCTCACATTACACATCAATCGCTTCGTAAAGTATATACAGGGTGTTCGACCACCTCTAGAAAAAATTTTAATGCGAGATTCTAGAGGCCAAAATAAGACGAAAATCAAGAATATCAATTTCTTGATTGAGACTTCGTTAAAAAGTTATTAAAAAATTTCAAATCATTCTGAGAAAATTATTTTTGGTTGTGGGGGTCAATTATGATCATTTTTGGTCAATAGACATACCTTCAAAATCCTAACCATTTGCGAGAAAAAAATTCCTTACCAAGCATATAATTTCAGACCAGAAATCTCACTCTGAAATTTCTTGCGTATCTTTAAAACGTCATAACTTCTGAACGGATTGAAGGATTTTAATGTTTCAAAACGCAAATAACGCGTATTTTAGTGAACAATATGTATAAATTCCAAAATATTTGAAAAATTGATCCTTGACCCCGCAAAATGAGAGAAACCCTATAAAAATGGGCAAATTTTTAAATAATCATTACTCCTACAATAGTGAATATATTTAAATGAAACTTTTTTCTGAAATAGGACTTAGGGGTACCTACAAAAAAGTATTAGAAAACTTTTCTGTAGGGCGTCAAACAAAATTACTAAAAATCAATAACTAATTTTCAAGAAAAATCTAGGTGTCTAAAATTTCGACGAAATTGAAAAGTTTCAAATCATTCTGAAAAAATTATTTTCAATTGCAGTGGTCAATTACAATCAGTTTTGGTGAATAGACAGACCACAGAAATCTTACGCACTTTCGAGAAAAAAATTCGAGTATGTGAACAAATTTTTCGACAAAATTAAAAAATTTCAAATCGTTCTGGAAAAATTATTTTCGGTTGTGGGGATCAATTACAATTATTTTTGGTGAATACACATACCACCGAAATTCTACGTACTTTCGAGAAAAAAATTCTTTAGCGAAAATATGCTGTGTGGCCAGAAATGTTTCCTCGAAAGTATGTTAAAAAAATCATAACTTTTGGACGGATTGAAGGATTTTAATGATTCAAAAATCAAACAATGCAACAAAAAAATACATTGAATGTAAGGTCTAATATAATATTCAATGCAACAATAATACAGACATGCCCAAAGATATTGGCGTACGAAAGTATTTATTTCCATCACTTTGCAAGTACCATTTCCAAAAAAATGAAAGATGCCTTGTTGCGATTACTTTTTAGGAAATGTAAGACAAAATTCGATTTTTTCCCCCCGCCAGAAAATGTAGGAATCCCCCTTAAAAACGAGTTCGTTCGTTAGAGAACCGGCTGGTATCAGCTCCGCGGCACTCGAGCGTTTTTCTCGCGCGGAGAACTTTCGAGGCTCGTTCGCGTCCGCGGTGCTTGTACGCCCAGGAGGACAAGTAGGGTAATCCGACGTGCTTTTAAACGTCGTCGACGACGCCCGGGCGTCATCGACGTCGTCTTCGTCTCGACGTGTGCATCCGTAATTTCGTTTGACGAGGCATCGCGAAGCGTCGACCACGCGACGAGGTCCGCGCCGCGGAAACTACGAAAAAGTATGCACGTGAAGTGGCCGGGAGAAGCAGCTTTCGCGATATCGCGCGACTTCTCGTTAACGAGATTACGTATCTTTTTCTCTCCCGTTCCAGAGAACCTCGAGAATTTAGACACCGTGGACCGGAACACAGTTTTCTCGCCGACTCGTTTCTCTTTCGCCTCGTTCGCGACGATGTTCCACACGACACGCTCGTTTCCTTCTAGATTTTCCCCCCTTCGTCGCTGTTTCGCTACAGTTTTCGCCCTTATTAAACGACCTATAATACGAGGATACTGTCTCCATCACCGTGTCTCTCCGCGAACGATTGTAGAAATTGGGACAACCTTTTTTCGTTCTTTTTAAACGAAGGTTCAGAAAGCTCGTAGTGGAATCTTTTCCTTTGGTGCAAATGCAATATACATGCGTTTATCTTTAGTAAGAAAATGACTCTCGAGATAAAAACATTTTAACAAATTATCAATATAATAAAGTATCACTCGAACTACGAAAGTTCCATAACTTTATTACGAGCCTGGAGAAACGAACTCGTTTTTGAAATTTTATGAAGGAAAAACTATTTGAGATGTTGGTTTGTGACTTTGCACAATTATTTACGTGTATATTGATAAGTTACATAAATTTTTTCATAGAAAACTGCACAATAGTTTCGTAAATATAAGCATAATTGCTGTAAAAGGAAAAAAGGAATAATTAAACTACGTAAGCGTGGCAGTGTTTCAAAATAATTCTATCGATTTTTTCGCTTTTTGATGTTTAGCTCGAATTCCGTACATTTGCTCTGATAATTCACCCATAATAATACGATACTGCAATATATACCAGGAGTGTAAAAAATTAAAAATAATTTCAGTTAAATTGTAAGAAGTACTTGTTCCTATTTGTATGCTTTTTTCGCAGTCTCGTTTCTCTCTCGCCTCGGCCGTGACGATGTCCTCAATGACGAGCTCGTTTTCTTGCACATTTTTCTCCGTGTCGCTGTTTTGCTGTAGTTTTCCGTCTTTGCCCGGAACGGAGGGGACGCGGTGTCTCTCGAGTCACGCGAAATCCTTTCAAACAGCCTGGAATAATTCACCTACTTTCGTTGTTGCGACGACCGAAAGCCCTTCAGTCTTGGCTGAGCTGATGATGAAACGCGGGGTTATTAGGTGGAGTTTCCCGCGTTTTCGCTTCGCCGATCGCGAAATTATTTCGGCGGAGCGTCGTTGCCCGACCTCTTTACCTTTGCTTTTCCGCGCTTAACGCGTCACGGAGATTGAATGCGTTCTTAATTCGAAGTAAGAGCGGAACGTCGATTAACGGAAATGTTCGTCGCACAATGGCCTATTAACGGAGTTAACGACTGGTGAGGCTTGTCTACGACCTGCTCGAACCAGGAGGACCGGGAGATTTTATCTACTTAAAAGGATCTCCATACATTTAGTATATTCCCTTCCATGTTCTTAATTTGTTTTTTCCTTTGTGAATTTTTCTTCGTAAAATAAATTACAACTGATAATCTAAGACAGATTAAATTGTCTAAAAGGAACGTGGGTTTTTTTCCGGATCAATGATACGATATTATTAAAACTAACTATTGTATATCTAGTGATAACCTAGCGACACTAAAAATGTGTTAATTATTGAAGTACATCGTCTCAATGCTTAAGAGAAGAATCACCAGGAGAAGAAACCAGCATAAACAAGGATATTACTTTCCATGAAGAAATAAACGTTCATAATAATCAATAGAAATTGTTGAAACTTTATTGGATGTATAGAGTCAAAGTAAATGTCAAAATAAACATAGAAGATGGCATAAATTATAATAGTTGTTACGTTCATATGATAGAGGATGAAATGCCCTTTAAAACGAGCGTTTGAACAAGCCGATAGCTTCATTAGTTCCGAAGATATAGCGATTTTAGTTTCAAGTTGATGCGGTGGCTAGTATCGGAGATAGGGTTTGTTTACGTTTCGTTGTTGCGCTCGCGAGTTCATTGATCTCGCGCACGTGACAGTCGTAAGCAGTGCGTAAGACAAAGAGGTCCGACGCGTCAGGTGAAGGCAGAGATAACAAAATTACCATTTACATAAATCACGATATCTCCGAAACGGAAAGTCGGATCGGCAAAAACCAAAAGCCATTTTAAAGGGGAGGCTTTGCCGCTTCTAACAATGCCTCAATAATTAATAAAACACTAATAGTTTCGGAACTTCACGTGTCTAAAGTTTTATTACTTTTAATGCGCGTTAGTAGACAACTCGAAAGTAAATTATTCGGATAATTTAATTCCTACCAATTGTTGTTTATGCTAATCTTTTGATACATTACAATTTGCTACCACAATTTTTAATGATAATGACCTCAAGCTTCCAAATGCCTTATTTCTCATCGTTGTAATTTAATAGCTAGCAGGAACATGAAAATTCATTTCGTGCAGGATACAGGACATGTAATTACGTGATTAATTAGTTTATATAGAAAGAGCGGTCGTTCGTCATAGGATGTTGCTCGAAAATCAATAATTTGAATTGCAATCGTACAGGGCATAATTGTAGCAATAAGCAAGAAACTTGTGCACTAATTATGTGCTTATGTAACTTATGCACAAATTATACGGTGTTCCCGAAGTGGAAGAGTTCGAGAAATATTTAGCAGTAGAATAAATAAAGCTAGTTTTTGATCATGGACGTAGAAATATAATGTATTAGGCTATTGCATATGTTCGTGCCTTTTGCCTTTTTAGATCGATGTCTAATTTATAAACAAATAAGATATACAACTGACAAAATATAAGAATGAGATTGTTTTCCATCCAAAGAATCCGAGCACAACTTTAAATTCAGTTGTACAACCGGAAAAGGGGTGATTGTCCTTTGAGTGGCCATAGCATTTGACTCTGACAAAGAATCTGGCGTTGCGAACCTCGAAATAAGGTCGATCTGTTAGTACAGAAATTGGGAGCAACTGAAGCATCATTCAACCAATTCAGACTCTAGACGTTTTCTAATTGGCGACGTCGAGATAATCGTCTTATCGACGCGGTTATCGGAATGACGGGTTAATTACGTAGTGCCTTCTATAATAATCTGGTAATGCTATTCGGTAATAGCGCGTTGCTGCGACATCCAGTCAAGTCATATCTTCATCTTGATATCTGCTATTACTGAAGATCGTAATACTCGTTTTATTTCGTGTCCACGAGGTTGTGACTCGATCTTTGATAGAATGTACAGATAAGAGAAGAAAGTAG